CAGGCTTCGATCAATGAATTTTAGTACTGGATAAAAAAATTAATGATGTTTCAATAGTGTTTAAAGTCAATCAATTAAAGAATATAACCCTAACACTACTAAGCTAAAAATAGTAGACGATAATCTAACGAACATTCCTAGTGTCATTTTATGATATTGTAATCATAAATATAATCTTTGAATAAAAATTTTGTACTTTTTAAAAAGACTGTTAAAACGATGACAATCATTAATCAGAGAGTAATGAAGTGTAAAACATTTCTCTCTTACAATAATAATAGTATAGTCACTAATTGAATAATAGTTCGATAGGCGTAAGACTAAATATATTATGAATGGTTTGACATTAAAAAAAAAGGATTGTTGGTATTTGTTTATTGATTTTCATGCTTGAATGGTCACTTTCAAGAAGTTGGAAATTGAAACAACTTCATTTTATTTTAATGCTTCATTTAGCAATTCTAAGTTAAATGATGTTTACAAAAATCCATAAACTTACAACTGGTTAGTGTTATTTTTCCCAATTCATATCATCTTTAGACTTGAAATGGAAACAATAAAACTTATGCCTAACTAATTGTCAAACATTTAATATGTATAGGTATATTACTGACTGACAAGTGATTCATAAATTATATCTTTATTTATTTGAACACATAGATATTGGTATAAGGGGTCACCAGATACATGTACGCCACACAAATCTCATTTGATTTGTTTGAGGGCTGTGATACTGCTTGAGTGCCCAAACCGAACCACGTAGTTTTCTTAGAGGGCCACACCCAGAGTCTTCGACCTAAAGTCTGATCCACAAGGCAGCGAAGCAACGTAAGGAGATGCAATCTCATGTTGGAAGATGACCAATAATTGGTTCACACATCATTTGTTCCTTTAGAATACTGGAGCCCATGTGCACCATTGGTTTGGAATGAGGGTTTTTCAACTCTCCTAGGTAGATCCTCCATAGCCACCAACCCGGTTAAAGCGTCGGACATTCGCTTTTCATCCTCTCAATTTCGTAAACAACAGTAATGCCTCAAGAACTCAGTGAGTGGGAATTCCCTCTCAGTTGCTGTATACGTGTGGCCATGTGAGAACATTTCGAGAGGAAAAAGTTGACTCTCCCCACCTTTGGCCGTACCAGGGAATTTGAGGGCTGTAAATTACATCATATAGTATACGGTACTCAATTACTAAGTAGTCTAAATGAAACCGATTCTACGAATAACATAAAATATCATCCATTGGTTTAGAAAATACAATATATATCTTTGCTTGGATACTGAAAAAGATTAAGGAAATGGTGTATGGAAAGAAGAAAGAATCAAGATTTCATGATATGTTGAAATTCTAAGGAAAATGGATACTTAATTACATGAATTCCTGAAGAAATTTTGGCGAGAGTATAATTTATGGACGAACTAATCATATTTAAGGTAACAGGTTTTAGATTTCGGTGCTAAATTGGTTTATTCATTTGGTTGATGTCAGTTTGTGATGAAAACTCTAAATCGGATTCTTAATTTTAACCATCAACTATATATCATAATCTTTATTCTTCATATAGATTTGTAACCCTCATTTAGGTTTAATAAGTGAACATTTTCAAAGTCACTTTAGAGTCCTTTAAAAGTCGTCCATAAATTATAGTCTCATTGAAATTTCTAATAATTAGATTATGTCAAAGTTAATGAGAAGTTGAATAATATCCAGTATTGAACTATTGATTCATTATCTTTTGACGGAGAATAAGGTGAAAAGGTAGTTTTACGATTTATACAGTACTGATAGTCTACTGAATGATCACTGGGATATTTATTCAAGTTCTGGCTCTAAAATACTATTATTATCAGAAGGGGTTTTGTGAAGATTTTAGTAATTTCAATAGTTGAAATCATCAGTCAATTGAAGTTAGACCACCATGGAAAACCTGGAAGCATTAGACAGCCGTTTCATCTTAGTATGGGACTCCTCAGCAGTGCACATCCACCGAACACCATTGCCTTCAGTGAGCTGATATCTCACAACAGACCTGGTTGAACTCCACTGGTCACGGCTTTGTACTAGAAGTCCAGGAAATGCCTCTTGAAGTCAGTCATCAGTGAGCAGATGATTGTTATCAGAAGGGGTTTTTGTGGAGATTTCAGTCATTTCAATAGTTGAAATCATGAGTCAATTGAAGCTAGACTGATAGGTCCTGGGTTCGAATCTCCTCAGGCGGAATCATGGATACACACCACTCAAGAGTCCCACAATAGGACCAAACGGCCATCCAGTGCTTCCAGGTTTTCTACGATGGTCTAGCTTCAATTGAATCATGATTTCAACTATTGAAAATACTATTATTATTCTAATCATTATACAAGTAGTATTTTGTCATGAATTTGAAATGTTCACGTAAAAAATCAATTCGTTTATTCACATCTCTTTCCTTATGATTTATTTGGTTTTACTATCCACATGGAAAACAAAAAAAAATAATAAACAACTATTCTGGTTAAATGATTAAGAGTGGGGATAGTAACAAGGCTTAATCTATACATCTTACAATTATTTCTAGTTACACATCAATGGGAATACAATTTATGTGATAATTTATTAACTATACAAAATATATGTGAATAATTATAGATTAAGTAACACTTATGTTTTGTATTTCGCTTTTATCATGTACATGTTACTACTTTTTACTGGGTCAATCATTAGTTGTTGTTGTTGCTGTTATTGTTGTTTATTTGTTATTTACCAAACATTCTTGTTATCACTATTAGTGTTGTTTATTTATATTGTGTAATTATCAAAGTGTAAATGAAAAGAGGTGAAGGAAAATCCAAACAACAACAACAACATGAACGATGAAAGCGGAGAGAAAAGAGGAAAATTCAAAGAGATAAACAATCAGTGATAAACAATACATGATTCATACTGGAGTGAATGCATTCATTATTATCATTTTCTTAAAAAAAGATTTTCTATGCACATTATACATAAATATGTTTATTAATACATAAAAACTATAGTTGTATGCCAGTTCTACTTGTGGAGAATGAAAGGCAGTTATAACTGATATGTATAACCTTTATAGATAATGAATCTACAATTATGATGTTGAAATACTACAAATGAATCAACTTAACTCAATAATTATTATTAGTAAATTGTAAATCTATGAAGAATTCATGTAGAAAGGTTATGTTGTTAGTCAGTTTTCGTGTGTGTGTGTGTGTATGTGTGCATGGCTATAGCAAGAAGGTGTAATATACTAGACCTTATTACAATTTATTACTTCATGGAGGTTGTTGGTATTTATTATTAATAAAATGAAAAGAAAAGAAAAAACTAAAGGAAAACTTGTTGTTTTTTACGTTAAAGGTACCATATATTCAATCTTAAATAATAGAAAAAAACTGAACAAAGTACCAGCAGGATAATTGCCTTTAATTATAACCTTTTTAAGGGGTATCGTTAAAACAAGCATTGATGGTAATGTGTTACATGAATTCCATTATTGACTAATGAAACTCATGATATTAGGCCAAGGAAAAAAATAGATAAAATTAACTCAAGCAAAGATGGATAGTGGCTAGTACTGGAGTCCAGGATGAGCGTTTCGTCCTATTTGCGACTCATCAGCTGGATGTACCTTCATCTCAAAGTTGATGTTTACTCCGGGATTGAAGGTTATATCAAGGCAATCTGCAAAGGATGCACATATGCCAACATGAGAATGATCAATTACAGTCATAAATAACAATGGAGAAATAAAAATAAAACAAGAACCAAGTGAATTTACAATTAACTCAAGTTCCATATACTATGGGTTAAAACAGACCCGTGTCAAATTAGTAATGTTTTGAAAAATTAATAGCTTATATAATCTAAAATTAATCAATACTTATTTTCAATATAATACAAAGAAGAGGTTTTGAAACAATCAATGTTGATCTCGATCTCGGTGATATTAAAAAAATATCATTAATCCTTACTTTATGTAGTAGTGAATTTCCTAGATATTCCCTAAAGTATTAAAACAAACATGATGGTCATTTTAAGTTTTATTGTCTTAATTTGTTGTTTCATTTTCTAACTACATGATCCATTGACCTTTTCCGTGTAAAACAGAAAACTGAAGTTATATTAAAGTCTTTTAATTTGAGATTTTCTGGATGCTGTGCTTCTAGAAACATCTACATTTCCTTAATAAAAATATGCATTCAAAATTGTCTCTAAACACTGATATATCAAAATATATCGTACCATTTCATAGCTATTTTGTGTTGAACAGTCTTCAGAACTGGAAAGATATATGAAAATTATGAAGTCGACCAGCAGCAAACACGGTCATTAGAACGGATCGAATAAACGGACAGGTATTTCTCTTTTTTTTTTTTTACAAAAATTCATCACTGAATAAAGACAAACATCATGCTGATCGAATCTTTAATGATGACAGGATAATGTTAATCAAGCGATTATATATAGTAACATTACCTAACAATTAATTAAGAAATAGATGTTCCTTATTTACCGTTAATCTTTTTACAGAATTGAACTGGATAAAATACTACCATTTATTGTGGTGAACAATAAAATGTATACTATTTGATTTCCATCTATATTATTCATATTGTAGAAGAGTGGGAAATTCGTGGTGCCTTAACACCTACTCAGCAATGTCTGTAATGGCATTTAATGTCATAAATCAGTATACATGATAAATTGACTGGTAAGTAAAACAAATATGTACATTCTCACAGTTTACATTATGAGAAGATCATAGTTAGACAACTGCGGGAAACTAGGAAGCGCTAGAATGAAACTACCACCCAATAGTATGTGATTTTAAATGATTATCTAACTACAATCAATCCATGATTTAAAATATGAGAATTCAACAATCATTACAAACTCACTACACTAAGCACGTCTATATAGTTGTTAGTTTTGTTTTATTAAAAACGAGATTAAATCATGCATGAATCAACATTATGATAACTCACTCTTCAGCTTCAACAGAATTGGCTTGAGCTAAATAAGATGATGGAATGTAACCAACTTGTCCAGAATGTTCAACCAACCACCATTCTGAATCACTGAAAATAAATGATATAAAACAAACGAATAGATGAAAATAAAATACTTTTTAGAAATTCTACTATACTACTCAACCTAACCAGTATAGTAGTATTAGAAGTGTTTCAAGGAATATATTTCATACAGTGATTACCTAATAATTGAACAAGGAAGAAATAAACACGAATTGAGTTGACATTTTGAAAGGAATCAAAATCAAAACAATTGTATAATAAATAATAGTTGCTAATGATGCACAGAATTGACAGTTTTGTAACTGACAACCAAGTGGTCGTCCTATTCGAATTGTGTGCTCCGTTATAAAGTCATCCAATAAATGTTGACTAATCAAATAAACAATGCCAGGATGTTTGGGGTGCGTTTCTCCCACTCTAAATGCAAGTTGTTGCGCCAGGAATGGCCTGCGTCAACACCTCAACTAAAGATAAGGAATAAAGTAGTCTAACGCGTTAACAACTTCACTTATGTTGGAAGTCTGATCAGCCCTAAGGGGTTGGTGTCTGACGAAATCTCAGCACGGATCCAAAAAGCTCGTTTGGCTTTTGCCAACTTACGTCACATACGGCGAAAACAAGTTATTCGTCTATAAATTAACGGACGAGTATACTGCCAAATAGTTCGTTCTGTTATACATTACGGCTGCGAAACGTGGCCATTAAGAGTAGAAGATACTCGTAAGTTACTAGTATTCGACCACGGAGGTCTTAGAAATATTGCTCGCATCTGCTGGTATTACCGGACAAGTAATAATGAATTATACGCAGGGTACTAGGGAATGATTGTAAATCAGTGTATGAGGTTGTGAATCTTCATCGAGTGAGGTGGTTGAGTCACGAGTTACGTATGCCTGAACACCGATTACCACAACGCGCAATGCTGACTAGTGTTGGAGATGGTTGGAAGAAAGTCAAGGGCAACCAAACCAAAATGTGGCATCAGTCTACAAAGTCACTGACTTCTAGTCTGAGCCATGTTGGTAGATACAGACTACTTGGTTGGGGTCCGCGTGACTATTGTGACCAATGGTTGGAGACTCTTAGTGACATGGCTGAGAATCGATCACAATGACGTAGATGTATACAGTCTCTGTCTTCCCTTAAACTATGAGATGAAAATCGCTTTATATCTTTCTTTCTACGAACTAATTATTTATTCCTGTACTGTATCCTTATACACAATCTTTCTTTTATATATTACCACCATTGAATTAACTACTTCTATGAACCTGGTGTTCATCTTGCTGTGCTAATTAGGTGTGGTAACTTAGACCGATGTATATATGTGCCTGGTTCTACCTTGTAGCTGGGTGAATCAAATAAACTGAATTAATTATTACTTTTTTAGTTCAGAAATCATTCAACCGATGCCTTGATCATTTTAGCTTTATCGCTATTTTCATCTTCAAACCGAAAATATTCAAGGGTATTGTGATTATTACTGATATTGCTGGTACGATCAAACAGTCGATTATCTAATGTTGCATTATTTAATAAGTCTATTCTTAGATAACTTTCACTAGCGAACTTGAAGTAGTACCACTCAATGATGAATTCAATCATAAAAACATCAATAAATGTAGGAAATTTATTGATGAGATTATGTATAAATAATTAAATCGGTAAAACTGGTGTAAGAATTCAGTCATTGCTACTTTAAGGGCAGTGATTTCATTTCAATACCTATACAGTAGTAAGTTTGAAAACCAAAACAGCATACAGATATACGATGACGTGAAGTTCAATCACATACAGTGTGAGATAGGTGGTTGTGTAATATCATAACTCGACTGAAGTTAGACAAGTACATCATTGATTCCGTGTCAGCTTTTCAAATGAAAAGCGTTTGCGCGCGAAAACCGAAGTCCAAAGATTCATTCCTGGATGAGAGGTCGCAGGCGCACACTTCTGAGTCGTCCCATACTAAGACCAAACAGTTGTCCGGTGTCTCTTGTTTTTTCGTGATGGTCTAGCTGAGATCGGTGCGTGATTAAAACTATGAAAATATGGTGGTCTGTTTGGAAACATTTAAACAGAAATGATGAAATACTCTAAATTGATAGTTAAGTGCTTAAGGTGCTCAACATCCAGTCCTAGACTCGAACCTCGTCCCACCTATTTCGGTCTAGGTGAATAGATAGTATGGTCAACATCTAAGCTAAAAGTGTGGCTCGTACCCAAGTACCTGGTAAAAGAGTTATGGAAAAAATCCTTCTTTAGGAAACAATCAACGAATAGTGCACTAGATTTATTTTACAGGTTGAACTTGAAAAGTTGTTGACGTATGAAATCCATAGTACTCAATATTCTATACATTGAAACCTTTGACTAAGAAATTTGAAGAAAGGTTTAACGTATATTTAGCGTCTTTCAATGAAATCATACAAAATGTTGTCTTTAAATAAACGTCCTTAAAACAATAACATTAAAGAGAATAGCTGATTTATTATAATGACCGTAAAGACCATCACTAGACTCAATGGTCTGGTGACTGTCATTACCAATGCACATTGAATCAATCCATCAACATATTTTTAATTATATTCAGATGAACGAATACACCGAGATCTAACGAGTATAACACATCATCAAAAATTAATAACAAAAAGGCCGTGTTTACTAATGAGGCTGAAGCCTATGTTACATATGCACAAATGCAGCCTACTTTGATGTACAACATTGACTGGAGTAGAAGTAGGTTTGAAGAAAGTTAGTAACATACGATTCAAGATGTAGCAACAGACCAGTAAGTCCTTGAGTGGATTGTGTTAGTAGATCCAGACGACCTGATTGGTGTCTATGAGATAACCGTGAATAGCTATGACAGACAATGAGTGACAAGGATCAGAATCGCTCTTCATGTTTATCTCCATACGCTTTATTCATCGAATTCATCTATTCTTTTCGAATAAGACTAATAATATCTGATCTTTATCACCACCGTTGCAACTACCATCATTGCTATTCCTTTGTTATTCTTCTTTTTCCATTTTATCTCGTTATGATAATGTGGTACAGTAACTTGGGTTGGTAGACATTTATGTCAGCCTCTACCCTAATTACAAAATGACTGATTTAGAATAAAAATTAAACGACAATCAGTTTAACAATTAATTTTACATAATAAGACATACCAGACTTAAATCTGCTTGACCTGATTCTAGTTTAAGATTGTACATTAGAATCAGAAATTTGTTTCAAAGAGTTTTGATTCCTACAGAACTGTTATCAAATTAAAGCACTAATACTGATAGGGTTTCAATTCATTCACTATTAAATCATGATTTCCGAAAACCATTTGAATTTTATCTCACTCACAAACAAATTCCTCAACCTATGTAAGATCTTAGAGCGAGAATCCCAAAAACAGTTCTAGAACCTCTCTAAATGAAATATTTAGGATAAATATATATCTAAAAGGGAAATTTTTGAAAACAGGGATGCATAAGTATAGTAGAATAGCAACAATGAAATGCTTTAACAAGAAGTGAGTTTTCATACTTGATTGTGTGTCTCATCTCCTAAATAAGGGTTCTCGATTCTTCGTAATACAAATGCTCAAATCAATTGATAGGATTAGTGAAATGATTGCAATAGGTAAAGTGACAACTTGCTCCCCAAACTATTTAACAAATATCAACGGAATAGATTAGATAAGATTAAACTACTAGCCGTTCGGTCAAATATATTCAGTCAGTCAGTCACAAAGTAGGATCAGGCACATACATGCATCGGTCCAAGTTGGCATCGCGAATCATACATGAAATAGTCAAGTCAGATATTATAATTTATCAAATAACAAATAACTTTTTAAATATAAAAGTCAAGGTCATAAAACAACTGATGATTTGGCAAACAACCATGTTACAACACTTCAATGTTTCAAGTTAAAACAATTGATAAGAACAGTAATTATGAACCAGCTTTTATTAATATGACGGCTGATTTATCTAGATCTTCAATTTGTTTTATTTAACTGACGAAAAGGCGATAATTTTGTATCATGTAAATCCTTTATTATCATTAACAGTGTTACTAATTTTACGACTTTGGCATTCACCCTGAAAATTTCATTCAGCTATGTTAATGAGGTCGAATAATTTGAATCAATCTATATATGTACCAGGTTTTATATTTGCGTGCAACTAACGGATTAATCAAATGTGTTATCTTTGTGATACATTTAGTATTTCAGTCAACATAGCTGTGGTTGATACTAACTTCATTGAAATGTGATTTCAGTCAGTCAGCAATAACGTAAAACTTCGTACGCACACATATCAGCACAAGTTGCCATACTACATTAGCACACAGATACAATTGTCGATTCAAAACCCATAGTGGTAGAGGTAGTAAAAGTATAAACAGTAATGGGAAAGATTATGGTTTGTGGATGTTATTCAAGGAGTATAATCTAGTGAAATAAATTTGGAAAGAGAAAAAAGAAAGGGATAAGAAGAATTCAGAAGATTAAAGTTTGGGAGAGCATAAAGAGTGGATGCACCTGTGCCATTGCAAACGATTTTGAGCCATGTCATTCAAGGTCTCTAACAATCAGTTGCTATCGTCTCGCGGTCCCCAACCAGGTAATCTACACCTACCAACATGACTAGTCTACTTGTCAGTGACTTCATGTATTTGTACCGTGTTTTGTTCTGGCCGCCCCTACCTTTCTTCCAACTTACTCCCACACCATAAAATATCGCTCTTCGGGGTAATCAATAGTGAATTAATGTTAAAGATTTTCTTAATTCTTTGATAATTTTGACAAGGAAGATAAAAAAAGAGTAGTAAAACAAGGGTGCGAACATTTAACTGTTTAGTAATTGTTTTTATTACAAGGTAATTGATCCTAAATACCTTTGAATAAAATCATTGTCAAGGATAAATTTATCAAAATCTAAATATGATAAAATAATTCAGAATTTTCGCCAAAATCAATCTATAAGTATGTTAGCTTTTAATATTGATTTTACTATTATGTAAACATTGAAGAGTAGTCA